ATGGATCTGAGTGGGGTGGAGGTCTTGGCGCATAAATTCCCGGGTATGGAGAGGTTTTTTTGAGATATTTGTTTGAGTTGTATTCAGCTGTTGAAGCTGTTGATTCGGTCTAATGGAAGCTGATCTGCGCTCATCAACACTGTCTCGCTTATGAGGGAAACTGATTTTAGGGCATACACAAGAGGAGTACCGTGCGGCATTGGGTCGTTTCGGACTGTCCGGTGACTTGGCCCTTCAGTCAGTGGCCACTCTCTCTGGAGGTCAGAAATCGCGTGTTGCTTTCGCAATACTTGCCATGCTGAAGTGAGTGTTGCTGAATTGGATGTTGTTTTCTTTACAATCGGTTAATTTTTTGAGTTTGAGAAGTTTTGGGTAATCTTCAATGGCAAAAAAACAATTTAATTGGTGAACAGTTGGAAGTTGATTTCGGTATTTATCATTTTGTTTGAATTCAAAGTCGATCATTATGTTCAATATTCAGTATGTTTTGGTGACAACAAAACGGTTTACCTTTGGCAATTTCAGTCCGAATTATCTGATCATGGACGAACCCACTAACCACTTGGATGTGGAAACTGTTGAAGCACTGGGCAAAGCACTGAATGCTTTCAAGGTTCGTCTCATTCGTTTTTATGAACAATTTTAAAAAAATTTCATCTGTGTCGAGCAAATTTATCACTTTTTGACGGAATTTATTGTCATTAGGGCTGAATAATTCAATCAGATTACTGCCCCATAATGACGTTGTATTTTTTGATGTACAAAGGAGTAATATGATAAGTAAAATGATTAATAATGGCTTAGTGCAGAGCAGATTGCAATGTTCTTCATATATTACACAGTGTCTCGAGTGCAATACAAAATCAAAAGTAAACTTGAAATGAACAATTACAGGGTGGTGTAGTGATAGTTTCTCACGACGAGAGACTCATCGAAGTTATTTGCAAAGAATTGTGGGTTGTAAGAGATCGAACGGTCACAACACTCGAAGGTGGTCTTGAGGAGTACAAAAAGCAGATCTTCAAATTACTTGCGTTCACCTCATAACAATCACATTTGCCTCTCCATTCTGATTCACTTCATTCACACACTCTCAATCAGCATCAATTGTTTATGCGCTACTACTCTTCATCTGCTTTTTGAGATGATTCGTTCAATTTGCCTCTGTCTATCCGGATAATTTGATGTATTGGGCATTATGTCATTATGTGCCCATCGAACCGTAGAACATATATGTATGATGTTGAAAATATTGAACTCAAATTTCCAATGGAAATCAAATCTCGCAATTGTTTTTAATGCTTGTTGGCAGTTTTAATTTGCTTTCCGTTCTATATACAATTGTGTGTTGGCTTTGTTTTCCATCTTTTGCATAATTGTTCAATTTTAACGAGAAAGAATCCAATAATATTTCTTAGCTGTTTTCGAAAGTAGATGAGTTGTGAATAGACTCTTGATTGTTTTATTGAGATAATGTTGAATCTGTTAAAGATATATTGAGAAATGGATAGCTGAGATTTGATGAAATTAGAATATTGAAATGAAGCGTGACTGTTTTGAGGTTCTCATTATTGCCTTGCATATTGTAAGCAATTGGGAATAGGTTT